GAATTGAATGCAAAAATGTTAACAGAAGTAAGCTGCACAGCATCTGGCACACAGTAAGAGTGGGATACAACTTAGCTTCTTTCCTCCTTGTCATTTCTCTAATAGTGCAACTGTAGCAAATTCTAAGTACATTTGTATAAAAGTATTCTCCTAGAGTTTGAGGAATGATATTCCCATCAGCAACCTCAGCAGGAGGACAGTTATCAGCTGCATTGGTGGCAAAGCATCTCCTGATGGAGATCTAATAAGCTATGTGAGCAAATATCAGGGGCCGGGAAGCAACCAAAATATCAGGAAGAAGCAGTGTCTGGGGCTGTGGAGATGTCTGCCTTAGACACTCAGAAAGAGACTTTCTCTGGGGAAAGGTCCATGTAAGCTCTCTCTGTTCCTGTAGACCAGGGAGAAGGTGGAGCTTAGATCAGGAGCAGGGAGAATACTTATTCTGCCTTGGTGATTTCCTAAATTCCTAGATACTCTCCATGGCAGGTCTCTATGGCTATGAGGGACTCTACACGGTAACCTGGCTCTCAGACTCTTGGAAGAAGAGGAGCAAAAGCTTAGAAAATAAAGTTGTGGATTAATGTTATTAATGCTATTGCTTTCAGAGCTATGTATTCTCCAGCAAATAACTTAAAAATTATGCTTATCTATATCTATCCAACATAGACAGTATACTCTATGATAAAATTCTTTACAAATTCATTTTAATGGCTTTCATTTCTAATTAAATTTAGATGGAATTCACATATTGGCAAAAGTAAATTTTTAAAAGATAAGACTCCAGACTATTTCTCTCTGAATACACTTTAAGTATAAAGAAAAAAATCCCAGTCTTAAAAAATTTCTTCTAACTAAATACTATTTTTTATATTCATGTAGTTGAGGTCAATCTAACACAGTCTATATACTTGAAGTCTGTTGAGTATAGTAGGAGATGATTAAAACCAGTTTAGAACCAGGAGGGTGTTTATAAGATTATGTGCCACCCCTGTATTACAAGGTCTGGGCACTTGATTATTCTGCATATTTGCTGTTGTGTAACATTAAGTAGGTCCTGTGGAGTCAATTATTGCCTACACTTTACTTAAGTGATCCTCAGTCTCATCAAGAAGATCATCAACCTGATCCTTGGAAAGTGTGACAACTGAAGTAGTTCCAATGAACATGGTAAATTTCCTAACTTGAAAGTACTTCCTTGTGATATAAAGGCAATGGTTAAGAAATAAAACTTCAAGAAAGACTCCACAACTTAGCAACTTAGAATATGAATAATTACATCTTAACTATAATTTTCACTGATCAAAAAGAAAAGCAAGATTTCCCAAGTGTCTTCCTGTGTGGTATACAGTCTAATTAGAAAGGTAAGTCATGCATATTTGGATAAGAAGACAAGAGTGTACTTACTGATCACCTGCTATGTTCTAGGCTACAGTAGTACAACTGTATAATTTAACCTTGCAGCAGTCTTATTAGATGGTTGTCAAAAATCTGAATTTATAGTGGAGGAAATGGAGATCAAAGAGGTTACAAAGCCACCGAAGTGCAACACTGGGATTTGAAGCCAAGTCTATCTAACCTCAGAACCTGTTCTCTGAAAATATTCTATGCATGGGTGCACATGATGACATAGAATGCCCTATCACATCACATATACAGCATCACCAAAGAAAAGGAAGTTCTATATAACATGAGGTATTTGTTATAATTGATTCCTACTGCCAATGCCAATTTGTTTGGCATTTAAATCTGATTTCAAGTGGGAAACTGGAAGTCATGTTTGTGAAAATTATCTGTTAATAATAGTCTGAATGAAAACCTAAGGGACTGACCTAAAATAAATTCAGCAAATTTTATTTATTTCTATCTTAGTTCTGGAGCAGTTGGAGCTGCTGGATAAGTTTCAAATTACTACATAATTACTGAGTAAATTTTTAAAAAGAGAGAGGAAACTGATTTCTATGAGCAGAACTAGTTATATGATTGATAGAGACTGCTTAAACTTTGATCTGGTTCATATTTTTAGGAATGAAGATGGGAGAGTTCCAGATCCCCTCCCAGTCCAATAAATATTTTGTTTACAAAATATCTGAAATTGCAAATGCAAGTGGGTATGGGGAAGCAAACAAAAACTTTGAAACCAAATGGGCAAGAGCATGGAAAATTTAATGCTGATTCTTGATCCATCATGTAACTCCACTGCCTATGATTTTATTCTCCCAATCACCTTCTGAGGTTTTTAGCAACAAACATCATAAATTACTCATAAAACTCTTCAGCTCCGATGAAGCCAGGCATAGAGCTTGGCTCAGTGGCCTTCCAAAGCAAAATTCTAGACACCGACAACACACGCTAGGTAAAGTATTGCCTCTCATTCACTCTAAATTTGCCCCCTCCCCTGTTGATTTCATTACACATCTCTTCCCCAGTGTCAGGCAAAAAGAGGATATTCAGATTTCATAAAAATAATTTAGCCCATTTAAATTGATAACCTTCTAGAGTTTTCTCTTTTCTTTGCCAGGATACCCTGAAGTGTAATGCTCCCTTTTAGTAATTACTCTTCTCTGGTACCAACTAACTGTCAGGCTTGTTATGACCTGCATTCTAATTGATATACCACAATCACATGGAAAACAGCGAATTTAACATGAAGAATGTGAGTCTAGCTGACATTAAGTTCTGAAAAGAAGGGCTGATGTGTGTTTATTTTGATACATCTACAATGTCTAAAACAACATCTCCCTCATGGTAAGGCAAAGGAGAGCTAAAATGTCTACGTGTGTCAGACTCTACACACATGCCATTGCACGTGTCTCTACAATGATCCTATATTAATATCTCCATTTCTGTTGATGGGGAAACTAAGTGAGTTGCCTAAGATCATGCAGCTAGTAAATAGCAGAGCTGATATTTGAATTCATGTCTGTCTGACTTTTTATTTCACCATGTAATTTCCCGACCACACTCAGTACCCGATATATTATTTGTGGAATGTCATCTTCTTGGGGTTGTTTATCACCTCTCTACTTCTTTCTAGCCTCCAGAGGGAAAAGCCTGCAGCCCAGTAAAGCTGTAATTCACAAATGGCCTAATGGCCAATTGGAATGCCACATATTATGGTCAATCACTTAGTGCATAATTAGTGTGTAATTAAGAAGTGAAAATTAAGGCGCATGCAGAACCAGTCTTTGTTAATAGTAATGATGCTTTGGGGACTGAGTCTCTATTTTCATTTTCATTATCACTGTAGAAAATAGTTAAATAAAACAGGTAGGATGGCTGTCTGAGAGGTGAAAAGAGGAGAATTAAGGGAAAATAATCTGTGGATTTGTTTACTGCTAAAATGCCCTTCAAAGGCAGCATTGCCTGAGTGACATTTTTAACATTTATCCTTATTTTCATTACAGTCATCCTTATGATATTGTCACAATTCTATGGTACTATCTGAAGAATTTTAGAACATTAATGTTCAAAGTCACTTAAATCTTTCAACAGAGAAGCACTCAGTCTCTGCTTGAGCAGTCTCAGGATCAGGGAATTTACTGTTGATAAGAAAACAAATCCTTACCTTCACATCAGTCAAAAATCTGTATTCCTACAGCTTTCTTGAAATTAGTCCGCAAGCATGTGTGAAAACTATGTAGCAACACACATACTTAGGCTAGTTCTTTGGATACTAGAAAAAGTCCTCAGTGTTTATTAGCGTCTCTGTATGAGAGAGCTGGCTACACATGCTATCACAGAGTGACACCATGCTTGTGTCACTAAACACACGCACACAATGTCTGTAAGTAATTTTACAGTTTTTAAAATTTAAAGCAAATATGCATTTCAGAAAAAAGTTTAGTCTTTAAAAAAAATGATCACTTAACTAACATCATGGAGCCCAGCCATATTAGAATAACTTAAGTTCTCACCTGTCCCAGCATAGGAGTAATGAGTGAGGTGCTCCTACAAGGGTCTCATTTCGACCTGAATATTCCCTTTAGTGATTGTAATCCCAGATTTTAATGTCACTTCTTATCTACCCAGGCCCAGTCCGCCAGGAGAGAGCCATTCTCCAAATTTCCGGACCTTAACAGTCACTTGGAATGCTGTCTAAAAGGCCTTGGTGACTATCAAAGGGCCACAAAGTCCCATAACTCTTTATCCAGTGACACATTTAGACATCTCTCTCTCTCTCTTCCAGACCTTAATCTTATCATCTCGACAGAAACGTCAACTACCACTACTAACTTAAACATGAGTTCTCCCAAGAGCTTAGAAAGCACCTGTTTCAACTCCAAATTTACAGACCTAATTTATATGACACTACTACTTAGTGGCAGAATAGAAACAGAGCCAGGTCTTTTGATGCCTTCCAGAAGAGTAGCTTCTTTAGTATAAGTATTACTTTCAGGCTTAGCTATCCAGCATTTGATATCACCCATCAGTATTAAGCAAAAAGTCTTCAAAGAAAGTTTCAAATGGGCTTCCACTCTGAGCTTTAATTGTAGGGAAGAAAGCAATACTTTGTAAGGGTAATATATTAAGTAGTGATCACAGAGCTGACTACTTGTGGGACTCCCTGCTAGCTATTCTGGGATATAAGAAGATGAGCAACACATAGTTCTTGCCATTGGAGCTTACAATATAGGAGAAGTTGCTAATCACTTTGGCCAGGATGAATGGGATATTTCATCAAATGAGAAATAGTAGTGTATTATCATCATATTCTATATCACTTTGAAGCATTTCATACTTAGCTCTACATAAAGTTGAAACTTCATTCATGTTAATTAGCATAGTAAAACAGCACATAGGAAAAAAATCCTCTCAATCTGCTATATCACTACACTGATGATGTTGTTTGGAGGTCACGATTGTTTATATGAGTGGAAGGAAATAATTTGTAGCTACTGTTATTAAAGTAAAATATGAAATTATCTGTAGATTACAATTCATTTTATAGCTAGTTCTTGAGCACATTTATTCATTACAATGTAGAGGAAAGGTTTCCTTACTTGTGGTCTCACCATTAATTCCTTCAAGTTCACTGTTAATTCCAACATCTATGGAATTCATTATTTTGTCAATCTGTGAGAAACAAAAAAACACGTAAATGAATTATTACATTCAAGTTTAGCACTCCATTGTAAAATAACTTTCAAACACCAGAAGATATATTATTATTATTACCCCTGCAATACCACAATTAAGAGACCGATAGAGAAAGGTTTAAAGTGAAGCAGACAGCTTTTGAATTGCTTTTAAAAATACAAATTATGTTTCCATCTATTAAACTTTCAAAATCAGCTTGCTTTTTCTTTGTATTTTCTAAAATGAAACTTGTTTGGACCTACATGGGTCAGTAAGTTAGGAATCAAGTATTCTTTAAACTCAGAAGGGGAAGGAGCTGAGGATAAGTTCACGTGATAATGTCTATCCTCTTGGGAATCCTTCCTCTTCTATCTGAGAGCATGCATCCCATCTGACGGGTGAAGCATGGCCATTTCAATCAAGTTCTTGCTAAATGGTTTGACCAGCTACAAGTTGATTTGTGGCATGTAATCACCAGAATCTAGGCATGGAAACAACTTGATTCTAAGAGATAAGTTAGATGTTAATTATTCCTGCCTTGTTCCAAAAACAATTTCAGATATTATTCACAGAGTTAATAAATATAAGAAATGGATAGACTCGAATAAACTATCAATCTACTAGTATGGAATTTATAGGAAGACATGACTGTCTGAGCTTTAGCCATTTAGAGTTTAATCCCTCTCCTCGTCATCCTAGCAACCTTAGTAAGACAGCAGGCTTCAGAAGGGACAATGAGCATTACTTAAATGTTCCATTTTGTTCACCCTGAAACAGATGCAGAGAGATTAAGTGATTTTCTCAAACAGCTCAATTCAGAATGTCAATACTAGTACCATTTCCACTTCTAGCTCTCAGAATGCTGTAGTGACCTATTGTGCTTCAAAACCTATTCCAACTGGCACAGTCTTTTGAGAGACACAATGTGACAAGTTAGACTGAAATGCCAAGGAAGAGTACGGTCCATTCTCTGAAGAAATTAAAGAAAAAGCCAGAAACTTTATTACTTTATGATGTAGTCCTCCTTAGAAACAAAAAATGATATTTTGTAACCTCACAAAGGCATTTACTTTCTGAGTAATTCTATGAAATTAAAGGCTGTCTTTAGGTAGATCTTAAATAGGTGATACTTAACCCCAACACATTTTCCTTTATTGCTTCTCCAATAGTTTTAGAGGGAAATATTAAGTAATTTGTCGGGGGTTTTTTTGTTTGTTTGTTTTTGTGGTATGGTTCTTGGAGAAGGGCCAGGATCATTCTGTTTACCATTAAGTTTAAAACTATGAGAAGCTCTTCTGAAAATATAAGATACTTTAAAAAAGGGAGATGGGCTAACAAAGAGTTTAGCAAGTAGCAGTATGATACAGAGCAAAACAAAAATACAAATATTTTTCTCAATTTGTCAGCTGCAATGCTTGGTAGGACATAATGCAAACATTCCTCTTGTACCTCATAGCTAGTTATTACTTCTGCTCCATATCAATTTCAATGGAAACAATAGATTTCCCCTCATGTGTGGAATTGTGTTGGTTTTTCTACTCGCTGTGAAATTATCATGTATTACCTCTAGAACTTTTCCCTTCCACTGGGAGCTGTATGCATTTGTTAATTTTTTTCCTCTGAAAGATTTAAAAAGCTGAAAATCCTTCCCGTCAAACTCCCTTGACTCTAAAGCCTTCTATAAAGAACAACAAGAACAAAGCTTACTTCTTCCCACTCGGAAGTGAAGGATGGAGTTCTTTCAGAATTCCCTTTAGAACTGTGTTCAGCATTTGAAGATTCACTCCAGTTAACTCTTGAAGTTTTCTCACTTGAAGGGTAGGCAATGAGATCAGAATCTGATTTAGAGACATTTTTGGATAAATGCATGTCGATCAGGGCTTTCGGCAATGATCTGATTCTCCCCAGGGTACAGGCTCTCTCCACGAATCCCCCAGTGTTCACAATCCACTGGTCCCCATTCCGGGAGCCACTCCTACTTGTTCTTGTGCCAACAATGGTGTGGTTCTCGAGTTGGTTGTTTTTTTTGTGAAAAATTGTTCTACTGACCACTTTGGGCTTAATTTTCTTTACCAAAGATTCCGACTTATTTTCTACTGGAGTCTGCTTCAAAGGCAAAGGACTATTTGCCAAACTGACTTCATCTTGTCCTTCTTCACGTTCAGTTCTTTTCCCGTAAAGATGGAATGGATTTTCAGGGGACTCACAGGCTGGAGAGGATCCATGGAGAAGGCCTGCGAATTGCCCCGGATCATATTCTTTTGGGGGATCACTGTCCTGTTGAGCGAGATCATCTGCGAAAGGGAGAAAGAAGGTCAGGGTACTTGTTTATAAAGAACTCTAAAAGCCCTCAGACAACAGCAGTGCCCTTTTGAACTTGTGCAATGTTCAGACATTTGATTTATTGCTACACAGTGATATCCTCACTTTACGAAATACCCATGACCCCACAGTGACGTGTATAAGATGAATTTTTGTGTGTGTGTGTATGTGTGTGTGTTTGTGTTTGTGTTTGTGTGTATGTGCGAACCGATCTTCCTGATATACCTTAGGGTGCATTTTAAAGGTATGAATTGGGTATTAATTAAGTAACTATCCACCTTCTTCCTTTGTCCCCAGGGAGTACGTTTTAAGTACGTTTTATATTGGATGACAAAATCAGGTTTTCTTAAAATGGAACACCCATGTTCAGACTCTGACAGTAAATGAAATCAGTAGGTAAGTCAACATCATATATAATGGCATCCCTTTACCTTCTCCCAGCAAATAAATTTAGAAACAAAATCTTGAAAAGAAGTATAATTAGAAGCAATTTAAGGTCAACAATCTTGATAGTGCTACTTTAAATATAAAATTAAGATTAATTCTAAACAGATATGATTCAGACAAAAAGGTTTTGTTCACGCTTAACATAGACAAACAATGTAATCCTATTAATATTACTAAAAAGTGAGACTCTTTTAAAAGAAACTGATGCTGAGCTATTAACACAAAACTACTTTTTTCTTTTTTCTCTGAAGTTGCAAAATTTTTCCCCCAACTTCTTCAGATCTTTGAAAATGTAATGCAGTAAAAAACCAAAGAAAAATGGTAATTTTTATTGCTTTATTATTTTTTTCCAACATAAAACATAAATTTTCTCTGAGACTTAAAATACTCCATGATTATTGTGACCTAATTTGTCTTTTAAAGACATACTGTGTAAAAACCTGGCCAAAGAAATTAACAAAGAAAGTCGGTTTACTTTTTTGATTGGTCATTTTAATTCATACTCGGCTAAATACGTGCCACGATGAAAAGTTAAATTACCCCTATAAGCCCATAACCTAATCTTAGGAAAAAGTCAAATGTGGTCAATGTAGTAGATTAAAACAACAAATTCAAGGTTGACTAGCTGATTCACATTTTAAAGAAGTTAGTTATTATTATAAATCCCAAACATCAAAGTTTTTATAAATTAACAAGTAACATTCAATAGGTATGTGCTATTTACTATGCACTGAATTAAGAGTTACATTTATATCATCTCATTTGATCCTCATAAGGATCCTGTGAAATGATTAATAGTAATCATAATTTTCTGCTGGAAAGAGATTTGGCATAATCTCTTTCATAAACAAATTGGCAACCCCAATAAATCTTAATGGATATTTGATGCAACTGACAAATCAGCTCTCTTTATTGAAGTTTCGTCCCTGGTCCCTATACTGTTCCCTCCCTTGGTGCTGACAGAAGAAGGTTTGCGCCTGGCTTTGCATAGCCCCAGAACTCACCCTGGTTTCTGTTTGGCTTTTCCAAACAGATGTCCCCCTACCTAGACCTATCACAAAGGTATCCTGAGATGGAAGAAACAAGAGTGACTGGAATAAGAGGTCCAAGAGACAACAGTCTAAAAGAGAAACAACTGGCACCACCCAGTACTATTCTAATCACTTAATCTTCCCATAAAAGCTCTGTCCCCTTTCTAGTGTAGCAACGCTGTCGGAGCTAACTCCATTTCCCCCTCTCCTCACAACAGAGATCCTTCTTGGGGTAGAAGAGTAGGTGGAGCACAAGGCAAGGCAGCTTTCAACTCTCCCTAAAGGCTAGAGTTTATGACTTATTATATCCTTTTTTTTTTAGAGGTCAAAATTAACACATACACAACTTAAGTTGCTGAAGGTTCCCCAGCTAGCAAGTGGTTAAGCTGAGATTCAAACTAAGATCTAACTGATTCCCCATATCCATTGGGCTGGAAAATATATTACTATTAAGATAAAAGAACAATCTAGGGTTCAAGGACAATCGAGTAGGCTCTTTATAGGGAGGGACATGTTTCCTTTGTTTATGACTCTTTCTAGAATCTGTGAAAAGTGGACTAAAAGATTTTTTTCTGTTTCATGGAGGTAAAGTTATACTAAGAGAAGATAAAACCTGCCATTCTGTTCCAATTTATTTTCTCTTTTTCCTTCCTGGGCTATTTGGGTCCCCCGTAATGCTTTACAACATAAGCAGGCTGGTACAGAATGACAGTATAGATAAATAAAGTAAAAAGGAGGAGTTCTAAAATAAGGAAATTTAGAATTCCATTTTGAAAGTTGCTGAAGAAAGCTAAAGGGTTTGAGTTTGAATGGAAAATTGAAAAAAGTCTGTCTATTATGGGAAAACGATTCTATAAATCTCAGCCAAGCGGCTTCTGACCACGTTCATGATAACAAAACTTTTAGGGGCATCTTATTTAAATTTTTCTATGAATCCCATTATTAGGTTACCATCTCTTCTGTGGTTTGACCAAAATGAGTACAATCACAACTTCAAACTCTTTATTTTGTCTGGGTCCTCATCTAAGTAAAAGAGAATTTAGTTATTAGCTTGTAAGTCAAGACTTTTGAATAATAGCTCTTAGCATCATGATAGTTGGTAACATTTTTGCCAAGAGTTGTGAAAAGGCAAATATTACTTATTTCAGTGCCCAGACTCTAAGGATTATTCAAATCAAAGACAATGAGAAGTTGATATGAAACCTCCTGAAATGCCTGTTGTATGGATTGATTGCAGTTGTAACCCCAATCTGCAATGGCTCCCTGGAGTCACACCCCAGCCTGTATCCATCCCCCCAACATGACCCTAGGTACGGCCATGTGCCTTGCTTTGGTCAATGGGCCGGTGGCAAGCATGGTACAAACAGAGACTCTAAAAGCACTCGTGCACTGGGGCTTGTTGTCTTGCTGCTCTTGGAACCTTGCCTGTATGTCAACAAGCTCAGGCTAGTCTGCTGGTTGAAGAAGTGACACATCACTCAGATGTTTGAAATTGTGGGTTTTATTATTTTTCAAGTATGATGAGCTAACAGATCAGGAGACACTTGCCACTGAAAAGACAGACTGTGATAGTCATAAATCTCAAGAGGAGGGAGCATGCTCTGCCAAGGGGGGAGGAGGGAAACACATGGGGAAGCACCAGTGTTAGGAAGCAGAATGAGTTGGGGGAAAGGTGGGCAAGAACCTTTATTGTGGTTTCTATGGGAAGTAATGGGCAAAACAGGGTAAGATGGTTTAGGATTGGTTAGCTCAAATCTTTTCAGCAGGCTCTGAGCCATAGGGACTGCCCTAGTCATCTGACACCTGGCCCTGGTGTGATTAAGGCAGGTGGGTAGAAGCTCAGTGTGAGAACCAAGTGGTTGGAGTATGGTTCTGGATTGGCTGGTTTGCATATGAAAGGTATGTCTACAGGTGAGTTGTTTATTATCTCTAAGAACTAACTAGCCCAGGGAGGGGCAATGCCTCCAGGGTCAGCAAAGTCCCAAGATGTCATGGTATCAAAAAAAGATGGCATGGGTAATACATCGGCCACCCCATCACTTTAGCCAAAGGCCAGCCAACTTCCAGACATGTGAATGAGGCCGACCAGGACCAACCAACTCCAGGCCAATCTGCCAAATGACCACATGAGCATGAACAAGCCCAGGCAAGATTATCTGAGTCTGGCCCAGACCAGAAGAAAACTAAAATCATGAATTAAATAAATGGTTGTTGTCTAAAGCCATTCAGTTTTGAGGTGGTTTAATATGTGGAAATAGAGAACTGATTTAGCCTGTATCTCAAATTTTAAAGAAGAATTAATACAGTCTTCAAAACAAATTTCGGCAATGTCTATATTTTCACATCTGGAAATGACAATAGTAATAGCATATACCTAAAAGAATTCTGAAGATGAATGAAATAATAGAAGTAAAGCAGTTAGAACAATGCCTGTGGCATAGAACACATTGTGTGTTTCTATTATTACAACAATAATTTTTAATCTAGAGGGCTTCATTTTTACAAAGAAATGTAGTAGTAATTAGACACGCAATAAAGATTGTTATTTTGACATACCTGTATATTTTTTAAAGTATATTTTGGAAAAAATCTTTATATTTTCTTACTATTTCTTTGGATGAAACTGAGGCAAAGTCTATAGATTAAACTGCTTTTCATAACTTGTCCCATTTAATTTCACACTTCTCATTTGACAAGTGGATATTTCATGCCAAGGTACAGAACTGAATATGTGTGAATTCCAATCTGATAGTTATTCAAAGCATCATTAGCATTTCAAAGAAATGTCAAAGTAAGAATCCAATAGTAAGCAGCTCAATTTTTTTTTTTACTCATCTCTGTCTCTGATTTTTATCACCCATATATCTGAACAACAATAAAACCCCAAATTTCATGTTAAGATGAAAATAAATTATGGAAAACAAATGATTTTTTCTTTTATTATAGATCACAACTTTTTCTACTGGGGCATTGCATTCCTCTCTAGACAATCAAAAATGTCTCAGGAACAACCAGCAGAACTTGAAAGAATCCTGTGAAAAGACAACTTGAAGTAGCTTAAACCCTTGAGAATCTCAGAAGTATCCAGTAAATACATGCTTTTAGTAAACTAGAGACTCTGAAGAAAAATTCTCAAGAGCAGAGTCCAAACTGAACAGGGTGAAAACATCAGATATCTCAGGGAGAAAAGAATTTCATGTCATGAGAAGGTGGGAGTGGTATGGAAGGCAGAGGTGCAAAGAAGGGAGACCTTGAATGTAATAATAGCCAAATATAATGTTCAAATATGAGAGTACTACTTTGTAAGGCAAGCTGCATGCAACTCTGGAGAAGAGCAAAGTAACAGCAGGAAGCTTCTGAATCAAGAAGAGAAATATTCATATTTCTTAATACTTCATGATAACAACAAAGGAGAAAATTCTTGAGCTGGGAAGCAGGGAAAGCTACTATGGCTCATGCCTGTTCTCACACAGGTACCTCTTCTGAATAGTTCA